TAAAAGAAAGCAATGTCATACCCATTTGAAATTTATCCCTAATCCCACCCTCAGCCCTAGGCAACCACTGATCTACATTCTTTATAGATTTGCTTTTTCTAGACATTCCACAAAAATGGAATCATACATTATATATGGTATTCTGTATCTGGCTTCTTTCACATAAAAGAACGTATTTAAAGTTCATCCCTATTGTAATGTGTAGCAATTCCTTGTTCCTTTTTGTTGCCAAATAATATTCCATCATGTGGACATACCTTATTTGTTTATTCATTCACCAAAACACTATTTGTAGTATTTTTCCATTTTGGGGCTATTTTAAACACTTGTGGCTATGAACATTTGCTTACAAGTGTTTGTGTGGTATGTTCTCATTTCTCCTGGGGGCTTGTTTATTTTTGTTCATGTATTATTTCCTAATAAATGTATTTTTCAAGATATCAATTTGCCTCTAAGCACTGCTGTAGCTGTGTCCCACAATTTGACATGTAGTTTTGTCATTATTATTCAGAGCTAAATATTTCTCAAATTTCTTTATGTTTTTCTTTTCCAACAAAACTTACTTATCAATACAATAGTTTCCAACATAAAGCCTATTATAATTTGTAATTTTATTGACTCATAGATGGGGAACATAGACTGTATGGTATTAATCCTTTAAATTTCATTGAGGCTTCCTTTATGACCTTAAAATATAGGCTCTGTTTTTGTAAATGATCCATGCGTGTTCCTTGGGAGCTGCTTGAAATAAATGGTTTCGCTATAAGATTCTAACATAAACATGTGTAATCTTACTCTACACTACTCCTCGCACAAGGGCTGCCAAGACCCTCTGAGAAGTTTCCACCTGCAGAAAAAGGTACAGGAACATAGCTCATGACTCCGCCTTCCTGGCTTCTAATTCCTTATGTCCTCATCAGCACAAGTGCATTCCTTCTGCATGTCACTGCACCCCTGATGAATGTGACAACCTACTGCATCTTGTCAAAGCCAAGGATCACTGTAAGCCCAGACGCATGTATCTCCAATTTGCTTTCTCCCATAAAGCCCCTCCTCCTCTTGACCTCCTCAAGACCTCCAATCCACTGAATCCTCCAACTTCTCCTATCTACCAACTCTTTCCTGCCTTTGTTCTGCTCTTTAACCAGCTCCCAGTTCATCTTCCATCGTTTCAATCACTTCCTTGCAGACATCCTGAACTCGAACACTTCCCTTACCCCTCAGCACTTACCTATCAAAACTCCAAATTCTAGACGAACCCAGCTGTCATCTCCATGCCTGTGTCCAGGCAGTAACCATTGCTGAAAAATGTGAACTACTAAACATAAAACACACACTATAAATTCAGTCACCAACCTCAGTGCTGCTAAACACTTCCGTGTTTTGTTGTTTAGGCGTACTGTCCTCAAAATTCTAGCTTTTCTCTAACCCCTCAATCCCAGCAGACACCTAATGTTCTACCTGACAGAGAAAATAGAAGCTATCACACGGCTGCCTTGCCCTCCTTTCCATCTCTCCTATCCAAGGACACTCCTGTGCTCAGAATTCTACCCCTCCTGGCTTCTCAGGAACTTTGCATTATTCACTGGAGGGAAGTGAGGCATTATGGAGGGAGAAAAATTAGGAGATAGTTTCAGAGGTGCTTGTTTTAAAATGCAAATCAGGGTATTTTTGTTTCCAACAAGTAACCCTTCAACACCTTCCCATTGCTCTGAAGATTTAAAAAATGCTTGACATAGTCTTCACCCATATATAGTTCACAAAGAAATGTGAGCAGCCTTTAAATATATAGAAATATGCCAATCTCACTCATAACAAGAAAAGTACATACTGAACAGTACAGTCTTTATGGAGGGCAATTTGGCAATATCTATAAGAATCTCAAATTCATTCACACTTTGACCCAGCAATCTCTCCTTCTTTTGAGAACCTGTTGTATATCTATATCTCTGCACTAAAAATGACATATCTACTAGGATGATATTCAAAATATTTAACAAGTGGATATGATAAAGTATATGTGCATGTGTATATATATATGCACATTAATTTTAGTTATATATAAGCATATCAATAATTTTGAATATTCCCTTTTATTCTCTAATTTATCTAACCCATATCTTATGTAACTGGTCCACAAGTGATATAAATTGTTAGGTGCTAATCTATTCATCAGATTATTCTCATGATTTCCAAATCATATATTGATTTTTAGAAATTGTTGGCATATTATTTGTATAATACAGCTGTCACTAGCTAATTGATACTACTGTCTAAATCCTGATGAGAATTTTTTCTTAAAAGCAGTGATATTGCTGGCACAAGAACAGAACCATAGACCAATGGAACAGACTATAGAGGGCCCAGATATAAACCCAACCATATATGGTCAATTAATATATGGTAAATGAGCTATGGACATACAATAGGGAAAGAACAGCCTCTTCAACAGCTGGTGTTGGCAAAACTGGACAGCTACATGCAAGAGAATGAAACTGGATTGTTGTTTAGCCCCAAAAACAAAAGTAAACTCGAAATGGATTAAAGACCTGAATCAAAGTCATGAAACCATAAAACTCTTAGAAGACAACATAGGTAAAAATCTCCTGAATATAAACATGAGCAACTTCTTCCTGAACACATCTCCTCAAGCGAAGGAAAGAAAAGCAAAAATGAACACATGGGACTACATCAAACTAAAAAGCTCTGTACCGCAAAGGACACCATCAACAGAACAAAAAGGCATCCCACAGTATGGGAGAATATATTTGTAAAAGACATATCCGACAAAGGGTTAACATCCAAAATATATAAAGAATTCACACACCTCAACACCCAAAAAGCAAATAACCCAATTAACAAATTGGTGGAGGATATGAAGAGACAATTCTCCAAAGAAAAAATTCAGATGGTCAACAGACAGATGAAAAGATGCCCCACATCACTAATCATAAGAGAAATGCAAATTAAAACCACAATGAGATATTACCTCACAGCAGTAGGATGGCCAGCATCAAAAGACAAAGAACGAGTGCTGGCAAGGATGCAGAAAAAGGGGAATCCTCCTACACTGCTGGTCAGAATGTAAGCTAGATCAACCATTGTGGAAAGCAACATAGAGGTTCCCCAAAAATCTAAAAATAGAAATACTATTTGACCTGGGAATCTCACTCCTAGGAATTTACCCAAAGTATACAATTTCTTAGATTCAAAAAGACATATGCACCCCTGTGTTTATCACAGCACTATTTACAATAGCCAAGATACAGAAGCAACCTAAGTGTCCATCAGTGGATGAATGGATAAAGAAGAGGTGGTACATATACACAATGGAATACTATTCAGCCATAAGAAAGAAACAAATCCTACCATTTGCAACAACATGGATGGAGCTGGAGGATATTATGCTCAGTGAAATAAGCCAGGTGGAGAAAGACAAGTGCCAAATGATTTCCCTCATTTTTGGAGTGTAACAACGAAGCAAAACTGAGGGAACAAAACAGCAGCAGACTCACAGACTCCAAGAAGGGACTAATGGATAACAAAGGGGAGGAATCGGGGAGGGCAGGTGGGGAGGGAGGGAAAAGGGGATTGAGGGGTATTACATTTAGTATACATGGTGTGGGGGGTCACAGGGAAGACGTGTACCACCGAGAAGGCAAATAGCAAATTTGTGGCATCTTGCTACACTGATGGGCAGTGACTGCAATGGGGTATGGGTGGGGACTTGATAATATGGGTGAATGTAGTAACCACATTGTTTTTCATGTGAAACATTCATAAGAGTGTACATCCATAGTACCTTAATAAAAAAAAGGCAGTGATATTGCTCATGGTGCTGAAATTTTTCTTAGCTTTTGCTGAACCAAAAGCAATCATATTCAAAATTCTTCTAACTGTAATACCATGTGATATTTTAAAAAATATTTCAGACTTGTTTATTAGAGTAATATGAAAAGTCTTATGTTTTAATATCAAATAACTAAAATTGTATAGAAAAATTATATATACAGTAAATGGAATTGAATATTCCTTTTGAAATTTTACTACTGATATTCTCTAGTTTAGTAGATGTATGAAATTTTTATATACACAATATTTTTTTTATCAACCAAATCATGAAGATCATTAATTCAAGTGTCATATTTAATTAGTTGGCTTAATTTTGTTGATCTTTTTTCACCTTTAACCCACAGAACTTTGCAAGCATCACTTGGCCAACTTTCAGATTCAATAATAATTTGGAAGAATTTAAAGTTCATTAAATATTTTAGTTTTGTTATCAAATACTACATTTTTATTTGACCCAGGAATTCTACTCCTAGGAATTTACCCTAAGAGTGCAGGAGCCCAATTTGAAAAAGACATATGCACTCCTATATTTATCACAGCCCTATTTACAATAGCCAAGAAATGGAAGCAACCTAAATATCCATCAGTAGATGAACGGATAAAGAAGATGTGGTACATATATACAATGGAATATTATTCAGCCATAAGAAGAAAACAAATCCTACCATTTGCAACAACATGTATGGAGCTAGAGGGTATTATGCTCAGTGAAATAAGCCAGGCAGAGAGAGACAAGTATCAAATGATTTCACTTATCTGTGGAGTATAAGAACAAAGCAAAAACTGAAGGAAGAAAACAGCAGCAGAATCACAGAACCCAAGAATGGACTAACAGTTACCAAAGGGAAAGGGACTGGGGAAGGTGGGTGGGAAGGGAGAGATAAGAGGAATAAGGGACATTACAATTAGCACACATAATGTGGTGGTGGGGGACACGGGGAAGGCAGTATAGCACAGAGAAGACAAGTAGTGACTCTACAGCATCTTACTACGCTGATGGATAATGACTATATTGGGGTATGTGGTAGGGACTTGATAATGGGGGGAAATCTAGTAACCACAATGTTGCTCATCAAATAAAAGAATACTACATTTTTCATAGACTTTATTAAACAATCTACTAATTTTTCTTTCAAATTTAATACTGTACTGATATTCTGTTTTCTCATCCAGATCCATTTTCATTCTTCTCCACTCTGGTTTGTGTTCCTGGAAGCCAGCCTTTATAGACTGCAGAAATTGGACTTCCTTACCATCTGGCTTCTGACAGTGTTTGACCAAGGGACGGCAGTGACAGAAGTGCCTGGAAGATGGGAGGAGAAAGAGGTCAGTGTATTTATTCCTCCAAATCCATCCCTGTCTGGCCATGGCTGCATTTCTCCTTCTAAGGCCACGTCATCCAGGTGTCATCACTATGTAGGGTTCCATAAATTCTCTTTCTCTTGCTCCTTCAGAATTAGGAGTGATACCAGTTTCCTGCTTTTGCTAGTACTAAGGATAATTTCTTCTCCATCCCTTGTTGATTTCTCTAACTCTGAATTATCAAAGATTTTTTTGCACTTTTTTTGAACTTTATATAAATGGAATCACACAGCAAACATTCATTTGGGTCTGGCTTCTTTCAGTCAACAATAGTTTTGCAAGATATACTACTCATGCCGTTGCATAAAACAGTAGTTTGTGTGTTTTTGTTGCTGTATAGTATTCCAACTATTTATCCATTCTAATGTCCATAGATATTTGAGGGTTTTTTTCCTAAGGTGTCCATACATCTATTATATATATATACCTAAGAATGAAGTTTTGGGTCACAGAATATACATAATTTCAACCTCAGTAAACACCCAATTTCTAGAGAGGTTGTACCCATTTACAGTTCCATCAGCAAGGTAGGGGTTACCATTGTCTGTAGGATCTGTAGTGTTATCTTTCTCTTCACTTCTGACATTCCTTTTTGGTGCCCTCTTTCTTTTCTTGATCAGACATGACAAGGGTTTGTCACTTCATTCATGCTTTTTTCAAAGTACCATCTTTTTGGTTTTTGTTGATCTTTTCTTTCATGTTTGCTTTTATTTCATTATTTTATGTTCTTAATTTCCTTTCTCTTTTAGGAAGGGTTTGCTATTTTACTACCTTCTCGACTTGGATACTTAGCTTATCAATCTTCCAGTTCACTAATTCTCATCCACTGTATTTTTACTTTTAATGTCTATATCTTTCAACTTTGTGCTCTCTGTATTCATTTCTCAGAGCTGCAGGAATTGTACCAGAAATGGGTGGATTAAAACAGTGGAAATCTATTTGCTTACAGTTTTAGAGGCTATTAAGTGTGAAATTAAGGTGTCAGCAGTGTTAGTTCCTTCTGGAGGCTCTGGGGAGAATCTGTTCCTGGCCATCCTTGGCGTTCTTTAGCTCATTGATGCATTACTCCAATCTCTGCCTCTGTCGTTACATGGCATTCTCTTCCCTGTGTGTCTTCCCATCATCTATGAGGACACTGGTTGTATTGGATTAGGGGCCCATGCTACTCCAATCAGACCTCATCCAAACTTAACTAATTACATCTATAGTAACCCTATTTTCAAATAAGGTCACATTTTGAGGTGCTGGGGGTTAGGACTGCAACATATCTTTTGAGGGGACACAGTTTAACCCATAACACTTTCCTTTTGATTCTCTTTACAGTTTATAGTTCTCTGCTGAAATTTAAGCTTGCCTTTTATATCTTTGGATATAGGAAGTTGCTTAAAGGTCTAGGTCTATAACTCTAATATCTGAAGCCTCAGAGGGTCCATTTTTCTTACCTGCTTTTGTTCTTGTTATCTGGTTTTATTCAGGTTAACTCATGTGTTTGTGTGTGTGTGTGTGTGTGTGTGTGTGTGTGTGTGTGTGTGTGTGTGCACATGCATATGCTGAGCATTGTATTAGCAAAATTTCTTGTAGAAACAGTTTCACACGAAGAGTAGTGCTATCTTCCTCCAGAGAAGAAGTCCAGAGAGGACTTCCTTTTGCTTCTGCCCAGCGTTTAGAGGACCTTGCAATCTAGAATCACCTTAATACAATTTCAGGGATCATGATGGTACAGCGCTAAGATACAGTCTTTGTGAGGAACTATCTACTTCCCAATCATCCTTACATTCTTCTAGAGTTTAGCCTTTCAGGGTACTAACTCAGAGTGAGGGGGGTTCACCATGAAATCCTCCTTAATGGTCCTTGACTCCAAATCCTGTTCCACCTACCCTGCAAATCTGCAGAAGTACTACTACTCAGCTCCCCCTCCCCAGAGGAAAAGCAGCCCCAAACATAAGCCCCACCTCCCTGAGCCTCTACATTCCCAGGAGTCTTGGCCTAGTTGCTAATTCTTCACTACCTTGTTAGCAGTCCACTGCCTTCATGTTAGTTATCCATTACTGAGTAACAAAGTACTACTAAACTTAGCAGCTTGAAATAATAAACATTTATTATCTTACATAGTTTCTGAGAGTCAGGATCCAGAAATGGCTTAGCTGGGTGGTTCCAGGGCAGGGTTTCTCATGAGGCTGCAGGAAAGCCGTCAGCTGGGGCTGCAGTCATCTGAAAGCTTAGTTGGGCCTGGAGGGTCCCCTTCCAAGACAACATGCTCACATCTGGCAAGATAGTGATAGTTGTTGCCAGGAGGCCTCAGTTCCTTCACCTTGCAGACCTCTCCATAGCTATGCTTGGGTGTCCTCATAACATGGCAGCTGGCTTCTCCTGCAGGGAGTGATCCAGGAGGGAAACCAAGAAGGAAACCACAATCTCTTTAGTGCCCCAGCCACATACTGACACTACTTAATTCATTAGAAACAGGTCACCAAGTCCAACCCACACTCAAGGGAGGAGGAATTGGGCTTTGCCTCTTAAAAAGAGGAGTGCCAATGAATAAATGGATGCATTTTAAACCTGTCACAGCTGTTAAGTAGAATGATTTTTAAATGATTTTGTCCAGATTTTCTAGTTGTTCTCAGGAAAGGGATTGACCAAAATTACCCAGCCCATCAAAAGCTGAAGTCTATAAATTTGTTTTTTTAATTTCAGAAATACAAATTATTTGTCTTACTTTGTATTGATTCTTGCATGCTAATAAATATTCTACACTCTTCAGATTTTAGCACACTAATAAAAGATATTCCAGGCTGTGATTGATCATTATTGCTATTTATTTCTTCATTTCCCTTCCTCCCAGGGAAGGAAGATTCATATATAAGATATTTAAAAGAAATATTAAGAAACACCCAAAATTTCTTATCTCATAATTTTGGTGTTTGTTTTAATGTTTCGCTATAAATCTTAGATTTATATATATCACACCACTGCATTCATCCTACTTAACAAGGATTAAAATGAACCAATAAAAGTTCAGTGAAAACTTAAAATATTTGCAAGTGATAGAAACTAGATAATTAGAGAATAATGAAAAACTTGTGATTCTTCTAAAATACAGAGTGCTCAATACGATCATACAGTCACATCACTCATCTGGCATAAGCTAAGGCTTTAGTTAGTATTAATATTATTATTTTAATAATATCTTATTATTTATTTTAGTTTATGTATTATTTATAATTAATATAATAATAATATTATTATTAATAAGTATTAATGCTCCCAATGGCCCAGATACCTGTATGGCAGGAGGCCCAGTCAACAAGTCCTGATATCCTACAACCAGTTTGAATAAAGAGTTTATAGCAGAATTCATATCATTAGTTAAGTTTATCAATTGTTACAGTTGCAATTATATCATTTACCAAACACTAAAAATATTTCCATATTTTAACAACTGGTAGAGCCATACTCTTGATCTTCTTGCATAATCATCACCCTGTGTAGGTAAGGTTTTCATTACAGTATTGCTTGTGGTAGCAAAAGCCTGAAAACAACCCAAGTGTCCATTAATAAGAAAGACACTGGCTAAATAACCTATGGTATAACTATGATGGAATACTACACTGCTGATAAAAGAATAAGAAAGCTCTCTGTGGATTAAGCTACAAAATACATTGTTAAGTGAAAAAGATAAGATGCAGAGCATAGTATGCCCTCCTCTGAGTAAAAGAGGGTGTGAATGAATACAAATATGTGTTCATATTTGGTTGTATTTATTCAATGAAAGGTACATGGGAAACTAATAAAATCGATTTCTTACAGCAGATGAATGAGGTAGATAAAGAAATACAGATACAGAATCTGGTAATGGGTAGCAGGGAGACTTCTAAAAGTACATCAGTCTATACATGGTTTCTTGGATGTTGTGAGTATATTACTTGTTGAATTGATGCATGCTTCATATAACCCTAAGGAGCCTATTTTTCCTAATCCCAACCTCAGTCTCTCCAAGTGGCCTGGAGGACTGCTGAGTCCCCCTGCTACTTTCTGCCCCAGCCCTGACAGAGGGTTGGAAGGCGTCTTCCTCTTATATCAGGGTCAGGGCTGCTCCCTGGGGCCTGTTCTCCACCTGGTCCTGCAGCATGCCAGCAGGGTGAGATCACAATGAGGGGCCAACCAAGCTCTGTGCTGTACCCAGAGGCCAAGGCTATACTCTCTGTTCAGAGCATGCCCTGCTGGGGTCTGAGGCTGCTGTGGGGCCTCGGAGCTCTCATTGCACGCCATGCCTCCCCTTGAAGCTGCGGATGGGACTCCCCACTGATGATACTGAAGACAGACCCTCCTTCCCAGCTATAGGCACCTGACTTCCCTTAGTGGCCACTGCAGACCAAGTAGTCGGTGTATTATCTCTTCTCATCATCACAACAGACCAATTTGGCAGATAAGGAAACTGAGCTCTAGAGAGCAGTTTGGGCAACAGCAGAGGTGAGGAAGGGAAAAGCAAAGGCAGGTGAAGTAACCTTTCAATGGACTCACCTGGGAGGCAGGACCCATGGGCCCGGGCAAAGGGCTGCCAGGAGCTCATGTGGTCAGAATACAGGGAACATAAAGGCACAGGGTGACTGAGGCTGCAGGGGTGGGCAGGGTCCCGGATGGCTGGGTCGAGGGGCATGGACAGGTGTCTGAGGTGGGGCCTTTGCAGGTCTGGCCTCGTGGCAGGGGCAGACTGGGTCACTGAGAGGAGGCACAGGAGGGCTGGAGGGGTGGGGTGCGGTGGGGCAGTGGTGAAGCTGTTGGTGGAGCCCAGGAGAGAGATGGTGAGGCCTAACGGGTCTAGGGGGTGAAGGGAATGCTAGAGGACTGAGAATCAGCAGGGTGTAGTGACTGATTGGTGATGGAGGTAAGGGAGGAGGGGTGGGGATGATTAATCTCTACTGGACACATTCTGTGTGGGGCTCATTAGTGAGTGTTACATACTGGTGATTGCACTTAATCCTCACAACATCCTGATGATGTTCGTACTATTATTATCCCCATTTAACAGATGGGGACTGGAGCCCTGAGGGGTATTATCCTTGGGAGAGGCCACACAGCTAGTCCCCAAGTCCCCAGGGAGTCCCTGTACCAGCATTTCCCCCGGGACGCTAGGCTGCTGGAGTCCACCAGGGGGCAGAGAGAAGCCAGGAATCCAGACACAGGCTCCCTGTCTTCCTCACCTCTCAGCCTTTGTGGTGAGAGAGAGATCTTGGTGAGCAAGGCATCTGACCCCGATTTCTCGCTTTATAATAGGATACACAGGGCTAGGGAGGGATAGCGACCCACAGCCACCCAGAAGGCAGAGCCGATCAGGCGCAGAAGTGGAGCCGGCGCCCAGCACTCAGCCCCCCAGCAGCTCCGACCCTGGGAGCGCCCGGGGAGACGTGATGGGCGTGGGTTCTGGACTGTGGCCGGGGTTCTGACCCCAGCTGTGATCTCCGCGGACACCCGTGGCTCCCCTCAACCCACCCTGGCCCGCGCACAGAAAGGATACAGCTGCCGTTTCCTGAGCACGGCGCATCATCGCTAGGTCACTGCGAGCTTCTTTGTAAAGTGGGGAGAGCGCCCCCCTCACAGCACTATTGTGAGGATTGAGCACAGAGGAAGTTCTCCAGAGTGGTGGCTGTATATTGTTGCTATTTTATTATTAATAGCAGTTTTCCCGGCAAACAGGGGAGCAGGTGTCATTTACATCGGTTCCACAGAAGAGGAAGTGAGGCTGAGAGAGGCTGGCGGGTGATGGGGCTGGGGCTCCCAGGACTTAGGCCCTGGGGCCCACACCTGCCTCCGGAGGGCCTCTTCGTTTGGACAGTTTTTTAATTCACTCATCTGACTAAGTATTTGTGCAGGACACACTCTGAGCCTGGCCCTGGGTGCTGAGATGAGTAACAGGGATGGGAGCAAGCAGAAACCTGAGGCTGGCCAAGCCCAGGGTTACAGGCTCCCTGGGTCTGAGCCTGGAGCAGTGAGCTGGGGGACCAGAAATCCAGGCCCGAGGATACAGGTATCAGGGCTTATCTTCCATACAGAGTCACACTTGAGGTCAGAATGCCCCCTGGAGAGCATTCCGCCTTCAGAATAGCCTCAGGGCTACTCACAGAGCTGGGTACTCCCACATCTGGCTTCTCCAAAGCATAGGGTTGCTCCTGGAAAAAGGTTCCCACCAATGGCTTTGGGAGCCACTTCTCAGGAACCCCTCGTGATTCCTTGCTGTGCTGTCTAAAGCTGGTTTGGGCCAGTGAAGAGGAGCCACCTCTGGAGTGACCTTTTGTCCAGGACAGGGGGATAGGGTTTGGCCTGGGAGCCAGGGGCCCAGGGTTGTAGTTGGGGATGACCCTAACAGGCACTGCCCTGAACAGGCTGGATCTTCACAAGGTCATGTAGATAAGAAGCAAGTGGGGGTTAAGCCCAGCTCCACTGAGCCCTGCGGGGGGCTGTGTTCCCCTGGAAGAAACAGCTTTTTCTGAGTCATCAGAGGCACCACACAGGCTGGGAGTGGCCCTGATGGGAGGGTAAGTCTTGTTTTTGGCCAGGGGCTGGGAGTTGGGCTTGGGGTTGCCCGGCCATCCAGATCCATGCCCATGCAGTCTTGTTCACATGACAGAGGGAAGGAAGAAGGAACTGGTCATAGGCTGGCCACCCCTTCAGAAGGCCAGATCTCCCCCATGAGGAGCTTTGCTCACATACATCCGAGGAGAACCACACCATCACCCTCAGGGGCCAAGTCTTCTCCACTTTTCATTCTCCCAGACCCCATGTCCATATTCACTTCCAACCAAGTGCCAGTTGTTGACTAAGCTCAAATTCCTTTGCAGGGCCTTTGGTTATTCACCAGACACACATCTGGCAAGACTGACCTCCTGGCTGGAGGGATTCCAGGCCCCAGTGCTGTAAAGCCCCCTGCCCTGGACACCACGGGAGAGGGTGGCAGTCACAGGAAGTCCAGGCAGCAGAGACCCCAGGTGGAAATGAGCCTGCACCTGGGGCAGCCAGTGAAGTGTCTCCACATCTCCTGAGGCCATGTGAGGACCCAAGTCGGCCTGGCCCAGGGGTCAGATCCCTCAGCTGAGGAGCTGGTGGCAAAGGAAAGGCGGCCAGTCCTGGCGGGAGGACGCCTTTGTTACAGGTATTTTCTCAACGGTGTGGCTGGGCTGCCTGCCAGGTGCCAGGGTGCAGCTCTGGCCTCCCGCCACACAAGCAGCTTTGCCGCCAAGCCCTGTACCTGGTTCAGCAGCTCCTTCCCGCACTTCCTCTGCCAAGCCCGGCAAAGTGAGAAGCCGGACCTGTGGAGCACACAGCTGGGCCAGCTCCCAGCTCACCCAGCCTCGTTTCAGGAGAAAAGACTCACTTAGGGCTCCTCATGGGGTTTGGCATTTAGAACTACATTCTCCCGGGTGAATGGATTAAAAAATACAAACTTTTGCTCAACAAAATATGATACAAGTGCAGTGTTGGGGATGGGCTGTCTAGATTGGAATCCCAGCTCCACTACTTACTACCTGTGTGACCATGGCAGGTTACTTAACTCTCTGTGTCTGTTTCTTCATCTGAAAATTCGGGCCAATAGTTGTACCTACCTCATAGGAATGTTGTGAGGATTTAACAAGTCACTACACATAAAGCTCAAAGTCTGGGACACTGTTAAGAGTTGTGGCAGTGTTTGCTGAGGTCATGATGGTGACATCAATGAGTAGCATCAGTCACTGATTGCACAGTGGTTGGTTGCACAGAACAGACCACTCAGTCTAGCTTAAGCAGGAGAGGAATTTAATAAAAGCTTTCAGAGGTATCACATGGAACCCTAGAGAAGGGGGAACCAGGCCTCATCAGGAATGAGAACCACTATCTTAAAAGCCATGGAACATCCAGGAAGCTTCTCCCCTTCTCTGGGCCTCACCATCCCCACTTCTCTGAATACGTGGCCAAACACAGCCAGCACTGAGCCCTCAGGTCAGGTGGCCAGCAGAAATGAAGTGGCACCTCTAGATCCCAAAGCAAAATCATGGGAGGAAGAACCCACGGCCCAACGGGGGTCAGGCACTAAGAGCCCGTCAACTACAGCTGAGAGGAGTGACAGAGACCCAGTCCTGGGCCCACAGAGGCACAGGTCAGGCAGACATTCATTCCCACAAGCAGCCGTCTACTCCCACGGCGCTCTGGAGCCGGGGCAGGAAGCCCCTGTGGCTCTGGATGCTTTTCCTCTTCCGTTTACTCAGCGCCTTCCACAGCCCTGTGTGACAGCACTTCAGTTGTATCACAATGATTTGTTTAGGTGTATCTGGCTTCCTCATCACAGGTGACTGATTTCCATTCATCCTTTCAATATAATAAATATCCACCAGGCACCAGCCACGTGCTAGGGATACAGGGTGCTTGCTGCCCTCCCAGAGGCTCCACCTGTCTTGGCCCGGTTCCTCCCAGGTTCAGGTGCTGGAACTTTCCTTCTCACACCATTGACACTCAGTGTCAAGACCCCACTTTTCTTTCACGAGGCTGTTATGAAAGGCAAGTGTCGGTGGGAAATGGCTTGGGGCAGGCACAGCATGGGTGGGCAGTTTCTGCTGGCAGAATCAACAGCAACAGCAGACAGCTGATCGGAGAAGCACTTCACCAGCAAGGAAGGAGCCAAATGGCGACCACGGCTCCTCGGCCCAGGTGATGGCAGTGCCGATGCAGGGGCTCTGGATGGCTACTGGTAGGGGCTTTAGCTGCCCACACACACTCTGGCCCTACTGCTGGGAACTCTCTCGACACCAACTCTACTTCCCTCCATGTCTTTGCTTCCATCTCCGACAACTCTATTTCCAAGATCAACTCCTCTCCCCACTCCCCACCTAAGTGATCCCTAAGCAGTCTTCCCATGAGCAGGATGGGACAGTCACCCTCCTTTGCTCTTTCAGTCCACTACCTAGGCATAAACTTTAAACCCTGTCTCCTTTAAGGCCACTTCTTTGGGTTCTCGAAGTCCCTTCTCTCCACAAAGCGCACCATTTTGGCTTTCAAAACTATACATGTGAGTGTCCACACTGAAGCCTGCTTTGGAAGTTGAAATACTAAACATAGTTCTTTTCCTTTCTCTTTGCACTCTCACTACAGAAGATGAAGGTAATGTGAATGCATCTGACTGACCAGGGAAAGGGCCACTTACAAGGAAGTATGGAAAATAAAAGCCTAAATGTTAATATTGCAAGATGTTTTCTCCTACACACACACATAATCAAATCATGGTAAATACATGATAGGGTCTCTATGCAGGTCTACAGAGTTCCTGGAGTTCTGGCACATGGTGGGAAGAGAAAGCCAGGAGACCTGTGCAGAGGAGGTGGTACTGGGATGAGCCTTGAAGGGATAGGTAAGAACTTCCAGGGAAACAGGGTTGTGGAGAGAGCCGTCAAGATAGCATCAACAGGAATGAAAGGACACGGGGTGAGGGAGGAAAAGCTGTGTCCCAAACACTGGATATGTACTTTTAAAATATTGGTTTAATCATCACAGCCACCTTTGGATGGCTGAATTTTTTAAAAGATGAAACTTGGGCACAATGATTAGGTCACTGGCTCAAGAATTCCTGACTGGCAAGTGCGAGAGCTGGGATTCAAGCCCAAGGAGTTTGGCTTCAGAAGCTCTGTAACTCAGACTATTTGGCCCTGAAGTATTGAAAATTACTCTGTCATGGCTGGTGGAGCTTCCGCTAAAGGAGTGAGCAGGAGAGAGACCACAGAAGACCTTGAACAGCATCTCAGGAGCTGAGGCTTTTTCCTAACATCGTAGGGGAGTCAGTAAATATGTGTGAGCAAGAGAGAGGCATACCAGATGCCATAGGATGGTGGGTTAGAGAGGCAGGACCAGAGGCAGAGACAGGTAGGAGGTTGCCTTTTTTTGTTTACAGCCTAGATGGGGAGACCATGTGACCTGAAGGCCGTGACCGCTGGAACAGATGAGTTCTGGGAATATTACGCGAGTGGGATGGTGCAAGATGTCCACATCCTAATGAGTGGAACCTGCGAATATCATGGCAAAAGGGACTTAGCAGATGTGATTAAGGATCCAAAGATGGGGAGACCATTCGGAGCATCTGGGGGCCCTATGTAAACCCCAAGGTCCTTACGAGAGGCAGGCAGATTGGAGTAGGTAGGAGGAGGGCCGAGGGACAAGTGCTGCGGCTCTTACACCAAGGAATGTGGGCAGTTTCTTGAAGCTGAGATAAGGAATGGGTTTCCCCCTACAGCCTCCAGAAGGAGCAAGCCCTACTAACACCGATTTTAGTCTCATAAAACTC